TGCCTTATGATGATGTACAAAATAGATTTATGCAAAATCAATTAAGAATGTGATTGTGTGTATGATGGTGTATGTAATGGGGATGCTTAATACAACAAGAGACACAGATTTAGTGATTCGATCTATGTGACATATTCTATTAAGAATAATGACGGTGACTAGAGAGTTTTATTACTCAAGGTGTGGTGTATTGAGATGTGTGTGATGTCTCCCATGTGTAGGCGGGACTTATAATTTATAGGTCAGTACAACTTCATAGTGCCTCGAGGGGTGCCTTGATTGAGTTGCCATTACAGGGAGCCCTAATTGAGGCGTCACCCTCGTAAATGGAGAGTGTGAATCCACGATGCCAACGTAACGAGCGAAGTGTCTGAAGCTGGCAATGAAACCTCAATGACTGCACTCCATAATTCCCTTCCTAAGATGGATATCTCCACGTGCCTATGAATTTCAGCCCATTAATATATTTCTTCAAAAAAGATACTCAAAATATATTAAAATATTATATTATTTATTTTAAAGAGTTATTTTTATAAATTTACTTCAATCATACTCTCTATTTTAACTAATTACTACTAATATTTTAAGTCAAAATATTGCATAGCTTGACACCTCATCAAAATGCAAAATAGTTATCCCTTTGGAGTGCAAAAAGAGTTATTTGGCTCTCCAAATATAAAATACCTAGTCAATGAGGCTAGCCAAATGTAAAGAGTCATTTTGTCCATATGTAAAATAGCTAGTCTCTTGGAGTACAATTTTATAGTTTAGCTCTTTATTTTAGCTAACAAATACCAAATAACTAGCCCCTTGGAGATGCTCTTAGGAAAGACTGTCGATTTTTGTCAATGATAAATCAAATCAAATCAAATTAAATCAAACCTTATGTTCTAATCATTTGGGGTCGGTTATACAAGTCCACAGTCTCCACTCATTTCGGTCATGCGTTATACGCTCATTTAAATTAAATATTTTTATATATTTTTTTATTATTTTATTCAATGTTAATTTAGATCTACCTCTAATCCTAGTAATATTAAAAGAAATTTTATCACTTTTTTTTAACTGTTGCCTCTATCGGCCTCCGTTAAATATTATCAAACCATCTCAATTTGTTCTTTCAACTTGTCCTCAACTGGAGCTACTTAGAGCATTTCTCTAATACGGTCATTTCGTATTATATCCTTCTAGTTTTTGCACATATCCACCTTAATATTTTTATTTTCACTACACTCATTTTGTTATTATGTTATTTTTTAGTTGTTCAACATTCCGTCGCATATATCATGGTTGTTGATGGTGCTCGAAAATACTAATTCAAGTTCAGAACCCTGGCCAATTAGCCTAGAGAAGATGCAGAACAAATATAAGGACTAGAAATGGATAAAGCAGTGAGAGGAAAAACATAACACGATGTAAGTGGTTCATCTTAGTTGAAAAAGCAATGTTACATCCACTATAAGGGAGTCTCCTGCTCCTTGAAGGAATATATTGCTCGAAGGGGGTTATTACAGTAGTTCTTTTAGCTTAGTGCCTTTACAAGGCATGCTTAGAGAATACAAGTCTAGTAGTACAAACAATTTTAAAGAACAGTGAAAAAGATGATGGTCGTGTTTTCTATAGTGTAATGGTGCCTTATTTATACAAATAATGCTTCTAGGGTTTTCTACGGCTCATTTTTTCTTTTTGTTGATTTTGTGGGCCCTTATACTTTTGTCCTGTAGCGACCTCTATCACATGACGCCACTGCACCCACAGTCCTCGAGCGGTTATGTGCACCAGTATTCTATATGGCAGAGAGTGAATGTTCATTATAAGTGTCAGAAGTGGTCTCTTTGCCCTCAGGACACGTGGCACGACGAGAGTGCTTCAGAATAGACATTGGGTCAAACTTCTTTATCCTAAGTTGACGTTTAGCTAAGTTGGATTGAGACTAGGCTAGACTTTAAGCTTTCAGGCATTGTTGAGCCTCATCCTTTGGGCTCGGTCTGTTCCGTTCTTGGCGTGGACAGGCTGGAGGTGAATTTTTTGGGATGTTATGCGAGTGGAAACCTCTTTGACCTATTGGGCTCGTGATTATGGCGGCTTATACCCAAAATCTCATCACTGTCGGTTGTCTTTATAACTGTTCGACAATACTTATCTTTCAATTTTTTTGGTATTTTTCTATCACATAATATGTTAGAGTCTTTTCTCCACTTAAGTCAAACGACATTGATTCTATGATTTACATCGTCTCAAATTTCTCAATTCTATCTTAGATATCTAAATCATTCACTCGTTGATATTTCTTGATTTTCAATATTAACTTTTTCATTATGTCTACTTCTATTATTAAAATTACATTTCACGTATTCAGTCTTACTTATATTTATTTTAAATCCTTTTAACTCTAGTGTCTCTTTCCAAATTTGTAGCTTATTGTTAATCCCCCTTCGAATTTCATTTATTAAAACAAATATCATCTGCAAATAGCATATATCTTGGGGTATCATTTTATATGTGTCTAATGAGTTTATCTATAATTAGGTGAATAAATATGAACTTAAGGCTGATCCTTGGTGTAATCCAACAGTAATTAGAAATTAGATAGTGATATTCCCTAAAAACAACCAAATCGAACTCCATGGATTGTGGCCTTGTGGGCTGGCCTGGTCTTTTATAAGTTTAGGTTAGGTTCTGGTTCACAATCACCCTTGATCACCTTACCTTAAGATGATTATATTGATCAAAGATAACAAGTTTTGACATAACATGTCAAACAGTACGTATGATGTCATAAGTGAATATCTTTTGCTTACAGATTACAACATTGGTCCCCACATTTGCCTTTTGAATCAAAGGCATACCACGTGACTAGCAGGGGAAGCTATTGAGGGGTATTTCTGTCATTGTCCGCCTATTTCTGTATCCCATGACATTTATTTCTCACTTGACCGATATTATACAACGACACGTTTTTGCCCCTCTTTTCTGTTTTTCCTGTGTCACTCACGANTTGTCCGCCTATTTCTGTATCCCATGACATTTATTTCTCACTTGACCGATATTATACAACGACACGTTTTTGCCCCTCTTTTCTGTTTTTCCTGTGTCACTCACGACACAAAACTCAGGTGTACACTACACATTCTGATCGCCTCTCTGTCTCTGTCTCTATCTCTGTCTCTTTCCCTGTTCGCACNGACACAAAACTCAGGTGTACACTACACATTCTGATCGCCTCTCTGTCTCTGTCTCTGTCTCTGTATCTGTCTCTTTCCCTGTTCGCGCCGTTGATTTACTCTGGCTGCCCAAGACCTTTCGATTGAATATAATTGGCTCGTCTTGCAATTACTGTTGGTGCTCAGTTTTCAGCGTCACAAATAGGGATACAACCACCCCATCAAAAATTACAGCTACATAAGAGTTAGTTATAATTTATTTGGGTCAAATTATTATTAAAGATTGGGGTTCATCCTAGGATAAAGGCCAAAAATGTTGAGATTAATTCTAAAATATTAAAATAAGGTTCAAACAATTATGTTTTGAAATAATCTTGTACCCTTATTTTGATACTAGGAACTTCTTCAATATCGTTGGTACATGTATCAAAAATTAAAACTTTTTAAGACTAAATAACTATTTTGTTAANTGTTGGTGCTCAGTTTTCAGCGTCACAAATAGGGATACAACCACCCCATCAAAAATTACAGCTACATAAGAGTTAGTTATAATTTATTTGGGTCAAATTATTATTAAAGATTGGGGTTCATCCTAGGATAAAGGCCAAAAATGTTGAGATTAATTCTAAAATATTAAAATAAGGTTCAAACAATTATGTTTTGAAATAATCTTGTACCCTTATTTTGATACTAGGAACTTCTTCAATATCGGTGGTACATGTATCAAAAATTACAACTTTTTAAGACTAAATAACTATTTTGTTAAGGTATAAATTACAACTTCAAAATACATGATCAATCATTGAATATTGGTATCGATACCGTGTTTTTCGTGATTCATCATGACTGTCGTTGGTACATGTACCAATTATGTTTTGAAATTACAATCTCTTAAGCGATTACAACTTCTCCTTTCAAAATTATAACTTTATCATAAAAAATAATAACCAACGGTACCAGTANAATAATCTTGTACCCTTATTTTGATACTAGGAACTTCTTCAATATCGGTGGTACATGTATCAAAAATTAAAACTTTTTAAGACTAAATAACTATTTTGTTGAGGTATAAATTACAACTTCAAAATACATGATCAATCATTGAATATTGGTATCGATACCGTGTTTTTCGTGATTCATCATGACTGTCTGTGACCGATTATGAACTCTCTTAAGCGGTTACAACTTCTCCTTTCAAAATTATAACTTTACCATAAAAAATAATAACCAACGGTACCAGTACCGAACTTTTTTCCCCATACCATAGAGTTTTCCTTTGATATCATATAGACAATGCAATTCTCCAATGAAGCAACAGTCAAACCCTAGTTTTTAGATTTTCCAAATCTGTTCTGTAACATTGTCGGAACACAGAGCCAACTAATATGAGGGATAAAAACAGCCAAACCCTAGTTTTCAGATTTTCCAAATCAGTTCTGTAACATTTGTAGGAACACACCGANACCATAACCGAACTTTTTTCCCCATACCATAGAGTTTTCCTTTGATATCATATAGACAATGCAATTCTCCAATGAAGCAACAGTCAAACCCTAGTTTTTAGATTTTCCAAATCTGTTCTGTAACATTGTCGGAACACAGAGCCAACTAATATGAGGGTTAAAAACAGCCAAACCCTAGTTTTCAGATTTTCCAAATCAGTTCTGTAACATTTGTAGGAACACACCAAATAGACTTACAATAGTCTGCTGCAACAATATATATGGTAGCAATAGTGTTTACACGAGACCAAATTGAACATACCTTAATACAGATCTTCATTGCGCTTAATAAATACGAGAGACCCAATTGGACAAACCCCAATAAAGAACTGATCTACTCGGTAGTCGTGTGGATTGCAGCTACAGTTGAGACCATGGAGTCCACCCCGCACACATTGTGACCCCTACAGATCTTGTAATAACCATCCTCTCCCCAATTTTCTCCCCAGGAATTCTTTATGATCCAGTATGGCTTTTCCTTCAACCGAATCGGAGCAAAGCCAGCAGCACCATACCCCACCAGAAGCACCCCATGGTCCAAATGCTTCCCGCATATGTAAGGGCATGAAACTCCTTTCATGTATGTCTGCATAAAAACTGCGTTGATTCCCACTGCAATAAAACAGAGAGTGAGAAGCAAAATTAGCAGACTCTTTTTTTGGCCGACTAATCTCCCATTTTCAGGACCCTTGAAGAAAACATGAAAAAAGGGACATTAAAACTTTTCCAGGTTGAATTGAAAAGCGGCTGATTTACCTGAAAGGGGGCCATTCTTCACCAGATTTGCAGCAATTTGATCTTCATCAAGAGAAATGACACTGAAGTTAGAAACTGATGCTACAATTTTGGACTTGTCAAATTTGCAGGAACCACGATCTGTCCCAGTGTAAGGATAATCTTTCTCTCGTTCAAGTCCACCCGCCTTGAGTGTGTACTCATAGGCAGTGGTCATCAGCCCACCATTACACCCTGAATCACACGCACCATATTCTTCTGGGTCACACTGCTCAAAAAAGAAGTTAGATTCAATTAGAAATCATACTAGCTGGTGAATTCTACATACAGCAGTGCAAAACGCGGACACATAAACCTAAATCAAGGGTTTAGAAGCCAGTGACATGGATGAAGCCAGTGATTAATCTACAGTAAAGCTGGTAGAGAGTGCCCTCCAGGTTTGGAAAACCCGCATATATTATTGTTATGTTTTTTATAAGCTGCGAATATTATTATTATGTGACGTGACTAATCCTAGGGTTAATTGATGCAATTGGATGTAGCCAACATATAGAGGCCCAGATACTAAAATTCCTCATTTTTTCCCACAACAATGCTGAAGATCATCACCAAGTTGGCAAAAGGTTGAGGTGCTCCAATCTTGCAATCATCTACGTGTCCAAATAGATGTACATTTATTTGTATAAAATTGTCAACCACTTACCATTCCCACTTCCCCTTATAAATAGAAACATGAATATGTATTCATACCAAGTACCGACTTAAAAATACTGTTGATATAACAAATACGTGATCAAGATAATTAAATAGGTCCTTGAATGAATCAACAAGCAAAAACAAGAAATTGATTCAACAACATATTTGAGGTAAGATTACAATATGAGCCTCCTAAATACAAATTTCAAACAGGCTTTTAGCCAACCACATAAAGTAAAAGCTAAGTTTCAAGATAAAGAGTGAATGCAAAGGTAGTGGTTTACACACATCTTAAGTACACAGAACTAAAAATCAAAAATCAAAAATCAAAATTTGAATGGTAAGTACATTGTGAATGCAGAATCCAATGACTAGATGGGATCAACCTTAAGATACTCTGGATTCATATGCCAAACGCCATACAGTTCATTGCAATCCAACAGGCCACTAGAAGGCCAAGTCTAACCCCCAAGTACGATTCTTCAGCCCAAATAAACCACAAACAACACTCTCATGTACACCACAACCTCAAATGAAATAAAAGTTGTAATGCTTATATCCCATTGTATAATTTTTCTTTCATAACTATTGCTTATTCATCCACATTTTACATTTTGGGGTAAATCAAAATGCTACACCAAGTTCTAGCTATATCAATTCAACATTGCACAATACCCAAATATGTAGTCTTGCGTGCACACGCATAAATGTCTTATGAGGTCCCTAGAGTTAGTTGATTAGTTGAATTTAGCTGATGAGCTATCTACCATTGTCTCCTAGGGTCTAAGAGCCCTTCAATACCGAAGAGAGCTGACAGATTCTCTTTATTGACATTCGAATATTAGTTTAATAAAGAAAATTAGTAACAATAACAACATGCCTTAGCCTAATAGAGCATGGAGTGTTTGGTTTCTATGGTGAAAAGTCTGTTTTTATAATTTTTGGACTTCACTTGTTCTACATTTTACCCATAGCGGATTGGATGCATTTGCTATTTGAATGTGTTTTTATTCTCAATTATGAGTTCAAGCTGCAGACAATTAAAGTTCAAATTATAGAAGCATCAATAAACTTGAATTTTAGAAACAGCAAATAGAAAATTTTACACCAACAATTAAATCTATGAACACTTTTAAAACCAAGAGAACTTTCATGCACAATTGTTATTCCTTATAACATCTCCAAATCTAACTCAAATTTAGACTTAAATTTAAATTTGATTAAAAAAACCTAAAACATTTACTTCAACATTTGACTCAAACTTGTACCAAATCAAAAAAGATTCATTTTTTTGCTTAAATCAAGAGAGAATGGTCATTGGGTGGCAGCAGCAGTAATGACGGATTCACTCGGTGTGAATTGGGTCAGTTGTCCCCCTCGCGAGTTCATGGCTTTTCTTTTTGCTCGTTTTCCTACTTGAATGATACTTCACTTATCTTTGGATCAAAAAAAGAGAGAGAGAGAGAGAGAGAGAGTNCTTTTTGCTCGTTTTCCTACTTGAATGATACTTCACTTATCTTTGGATCAAAAAAAAAAGAGAGAGAGAGAGAGAGAATGGTCATCTTTAAATTTGAGTTTCTCGTTCTTTAAATTTGAGTTTGTCCATTAGAACCATTTATATCAAATCAAGTTTTTTCTCAAATTTGAATNAGAGAGAGAGAGAGAGAGAGTGGTCATCTTTAAATTTGAGTTTCTCGTTCTTTAAATTTGAGTTTGTCCATTAGAACCATTTATATCAAATCAAGTTTTTTCTCAAATTTGAATAAAAATTTGAGTCATGTTAACGTATCAGACATCAATGGCACATAACAATTGAGGTTCGCAAAAGTCAATATACACATACACCACAATTCAGCGACCACACGAATAGTATCACGTAAATACAAACTGAAAAGTAATAAGAATCACTAAAAAACAATGAACATATAAAACACACCACAAAATCAATCGAATTTGAAAAGAACTTGTAATATATACGAATAATACCAAAAGATAAGAATGATGATAAGTGATTCAAAGTCAAAGGCAAAAAAAATCTACACCTCATGGTCACAATCCACAAGCTGCTGCTCGCTGAGGCTAACGAGCTCTCCAGTAGCTAGATAGTGAGCTCCTTCCAAGGCTCCAGTGGTACTAAACGACCAGCACGATCCACATGAGCCCTAAATAATCCCATATTCCATCAAAACAACATAGTCAACGATGACAATCGCTCTTTAACCACAGACAGCACATTTATATGCATATAACATAGGTATGTATGCATAAAAGTATAGATATATACCTGATCCTTAACACCGGTAACGGCACCGTGATCACGCCAGTCAAAATCCTCGGGTAAATCACTCGTCGGAAGAATCGGAGCATTTTTAGCGTCAGAGGGGAGCTTAAGACGCCGCTTATTCTTGTTCAGTCCAAGGTAGTTCCGGCGAAACTCCGCCGGAGTGAGGTCAGAGAATTTGGTGACGCCGTGGACAGCGGACGGATCAATAAGCTGGTGACGCTTCGCGCGGCGCAAGTTAGCCTTAAAGACGGTGAGTCTGTAGTCGTGCTCCTCCTGAGTAGCATAGGTCTTACCGTACTTGTTCTTGAAGAGAGAGAAATGGTGGTCGGCGTTGAGTAGATGATCGTCCTCATCCGATACAACCTGGCGGATCAACGGATCGTCGGAAGAGAAGTCATCTACGGCTACGGTGGACCTTGCCGTAGAGAATAACAGGCAGACTGCAAGAAAAGATAAGAGATAGAAAGCAGCCATCGGAGGAGAGAGATAGGGATGGCTGTGAAAGCTGGAGAGAAATTTCACTGGTTTTTGGGGAGATTTATATTGGCTAGTGGAAGTGGTGGGTGAGAATGATTCGTTGCGATCTTGACACGTGCACTGTTTCTATTGCTTATTNGGTGAGAATGATTCGTTGCGATCTTGACACGTGCACTGTTTCTATTGCTTATTGTCGTAATACGGTAAAAGATATCTTGGACCGTTCTTTTTTTTTGTTGGTCAGGATCTTGGACCGTTCACTCGCCAAGGAAACTGGGGTTCTTTTGTAGTTTTGTTGGGATGTTAATTATTGTTGGCGTGAATTGTCTATTTTATCCTCTGACCTTACCAGTTGATTTTTAGTCCAGTACCCACAGACAGTCGACGGTAGTAGAAGTAGATTTTGTTCAAAAAAATTAGCTTAGACCCCGGTAAGTAAGAGGTTTGGAAACCAACAATTATTTAAAAATAAATAAAAGGGATAGAGTATGTTGAGTTTAATTGGCACCGAAACATAATTAAAAAAATATAAAAATTATTTTTTTGATATAAAACAAAATTCTAAACCAGCTGAATGTGGTTGGAACAAACCACATTAATACTAAATATCTAACGCATTGGAAAAAATGTTGTATTAACAAAGAGCCGTGGATAATAAAATAAAGGGCAAAATTCAGTGTATCTCCTTGTGATTTAGATATTTTGTACATGA